CCCCAAAACCCCAAAACCCCAAAACCCCTTTCTACAATCTTGGAATTGAATATTGGGTTACATAAATGAATATAAATTCAAAACATTATTTAAAGGTTGGCTTTACAATTAATACTAGACTTCCAATCAGAATTAGAAAGTTAATTCATTTTTCATATTCCTCATCCTTAACTTATGGGATTTCCAATAGCGTCCTATACTTTTCGAAGTTATTCACATTTTCATTTTCAAGTCTAATGGCTGCCCATTAAGCTCGCCTAAATCCTTCTCCTAGACAGAGTATTATCATAATCAACTATGAATGATAGACCCAATCTGGGAATATTCTAATCAATCCAAGTATCCATAAAAATCTCAAGAAAAAATTACTAACTATAGCATAGTAATAAAACCAAGCAGGATATAAAAACTTTGGCCTTAGATACATCTTGCCCTTTTCAAATGATCTAAATAGACCCCAATCCATGTATATATCCCAAGCGTAGCTATATACTGTACTTATGATGCAAACTAATATGTATATCATTAAGGCAGCATCTGATCCATGTTTAACTCTCAATATATAGACTGCATGAACCACCATGACACTTAGATACTTTCCTGAATTTACTAGATGAGCTTATACTTTGGTATCGTAATATCTTCTCCAGCATTAAGCTAATCTAAACCAGAAAGGCAAAAATGCCACAGATATCAAATAATTTTCAAGATTAGGGCACTTATCCTTATTAGGTAAACTTGAACTTAGCCAATCACCCTAAAAAAAGAAGCAGCTGACATAGCCCAAGTCTTTAAGTGGAATGACCATGCTTGTAATAATATCTGCCAAAAAGAAGTGTCTAAATCTGACTAATCCAAAAGGAGAGATCAATATATTCCAAAGAGTCACTAGCAAAGATTTCCTTCCTCTTCGGTAAAAGAAGGAAAATGGCTAAATGCACAGGAATATAAATATGCAGATCAAACTCAGAGTAAATACTGCAACAGCTCTATCAAATAAAAATTCCAATTTTATTATGAAAGTTTAACCCATCAGACAAAATGCCCAAATAGCAAACAATGCAATAGCAAACTTGAATAGCTAGATATGAGTGATTTTATATTGAGGGTCTAGCTCGAATATGTACATGTAGTTTATTCGATATTTTCGAAGTGCTTTGACAACACAACCAGAGGCACACATTATAAAGATTAGCATAAAGAAAAACCTGAATGTGTATAGTGATGAGTAAATTTATATGTCACTTCCTACCTCATGCTTATTCAGTAGGTAATCAGGTATTGATAGAATAAAAATGAACATGATAAGAATCATTGTTAAAGTTCCACAGAAAAATGACATGAAAAGAGCATCTTTTCGCCTGATTTCATATCCAGTATCTTCAAGCTTTTTTTGGGCTTTTTGCACATTATTTTTAGTGAAAAATAAGGCATAGTACTTATATAGCTCGTTAACTTAATGATTTATAAAGTATCTATCAGTAAATGAATAGCTTTTGATTAGCTCAGTCATCTTCTTATCTAAGATATTGTCTTTCATCACGAAATAGTTTTTCATAAATTTCTTATAAATCCTAAAATTATTGTTAATATTTAAATGTGAATACTTAAAGATAGCGATATAGTTGATTTTTGCAAATGCGTTTAGCCATTTGAATCTACGATAGAGATCTCCAAAGGCTCTTCTCCAATTTATAGCATATTCCAGTTCATCCTTAACTAAGGACAATCTCTTTGCATCAATCCTCAAGAAATTTTTTCTTTCAACAACAGTCTATTAAACCTTTTGCATCTTTGTTTATCTTTATTAGCTTTAGATTAAGTCAGAGCTCTACTTTTAAATAGGAGATTTGCTGGTAGGAGGCTAAAGTGTATTAGTGTTCTCTTGAGATATAAATCCTGCTGTAGCTTTAGTTCCAGTGGTATGCTGATCAGGGGCTTAGATGATTTCTGACATTTAGATTTCACTGTCATCCATATCATCTCCATTCTTATGGATTCCATGATCTTGATAAAGACCACAATGACTACTTGAAGCCTTCTTAAACATATGTGGCGATTTCTTCTTAATATACATTTCTTTGAGTATTTCAAGTTCCTATGAGTACTCCTCGAACTTCGATAAGAAGAATATTTCTACATCATTTATATCTTCAAGAAATAATTCAATCCACTGTCTCATCTCTGCCTCAGATTCATCAATTACTAAAGAAAGAATTAGTGCCCATAATTTTATTATACCTTGTTAATTTTCTTAGATATTAGGAAACAAATTGATGATCACACTCTTGTCAATTTTGGGGAGTTAAAAGTCCATATCAACCTCTGGCAATTAATAATCCTGCTAATTGTGATTCATGTAATACTCGTAGTCTAACTCAAATAAGTTCTCTTTTAAGAGAGGCTGAATGCCCTCTTGTTAGCCTATCTTCTTATGATCATGGTGTTTTTTATCTTGAGCTGGAATATGCTATTTCAATTCGTTGATATTCACTTGCTTATTAATAGCAGAAGCAAGCTCATACTCGATTTATCTTTTTTCGTGCATGTCATCAAAATCCAGATACTGATAATTTCTCTTCATCACATAAGAGTCATCCTTAGAAATCTCCCTTTGAATTTTAAACTATATCTTTTAGCTGTGGCTGTGTGATTCATCATCATTTATTTCAGAGCCTCCGTCACTTACTCTATGGTACTTGATGTTGAGTAATTTATTTTGCAAATCAAGTTTCACAACTTTCTTACTTTGAGTCAAATAGTAAAATCCATTCAATTTCTAAGTTTCTCCTCCTATATGAAAGCATAAAGAACTCAGATTAAAATTATAGGCAAATTACTTTTGACTCTTCGCTTGAATTCCTTAATGAGACGTTTGAATTTAAGATAGTCTAGATACTCAGTGTACCACTCTGGGATCTTGTGAAACTCAAATTGTATGCCAAACTTCATTTTTTGTTTTGCTCTAATATATCTATAAAATATTATATATTTCAACTATTATTGTACTACTTTACATTTGATCATGGGGTTTTGGGGTTTTGGGG